TGCTTTCCAGTGGCGCCATCTGTGGTCAAGAATGCGACTCCTGCCATACCCATACGGCACACCCGTTAATTGGGCCAACCCATTCATACATCCACAGAACATAATTTTGATCAGAACCAGAGAGCGATCCCTCTTCAATCCCCAGAGGTATCATTTGTTACGGGAAAGACTTTGGAAGACTTTGTGACTTGACAGATTTAGCGTGCACCGCTCACCATTTACTGCACGGGGAGTCTGCGGCTGGCTGGACACAAGCGTGAGTCCAGTATCCTGCCAGCCAGGCTATCCCGGCCCCTCAAAGGATGTTAAAATATAAAAAAAGCATATTTTTTTTCACTATTGACCTCTCCCTTCTTAACAAAATATAAATCTACATAACTAACTTGCCTTGTTTTTCGGCTTTTACTCATTTTGAGACTTTCTGAAATGATGTCACTTTGCACAAAACAAAATTTACTTTTGGTTGTTGTTGTCCATTGACACGCATGAAATCCATTAGTCCCCGAGAAAGGGAGATTATGCACATCATGGATCCATTGACAAATTTACTTTATGAAATTTTGAAACTCCTTCAATATTTAATTTCTCTGAATTTTTATTTCATCTGATAATAATTGAACCGTTTCAAAACTTTTCAAGTTTGACGCAACAATAGTGACTTCAGTTGAAAGAAATTACGTAAATTTGTTTCATTTCGGAACATTGTAGATAAAACAGGTTGTTTGAACTACTCATGATGATAGCAAAAAAAAGGAGTTAATTATCACGAAATTCAAATAATAATTGGGGTCAAATAATAAGAGGTGAGACAGTTGTGCAAACGATCATCATGTTTCTTCCGGTCTTTTCATGCACGAAACAAAAACATATTGAACGAAGAACTCATTTGAAAGTTGAATATATATATATTTTTATAGATATATGTAAGTTCAAGATGTAAAGAAAACATGAAAAAAAATTACAGAACAATGAAAATAGGGAAAAACAAAAATAATAAAAATAATAAATAAAAAAAATAGTGGGGGGGATCCGGGGGAAAAAATCCGAAAAAAAGGGGAGGGGGAATTTAAGGAATTCAGAAAATAATTTATTAATTTTTTTCCCCGGATTTCTATTATTATTATTATTTTCCTTTTTTCATTCTTGTGTAATTTTTTTCATGTTTCCTTTACATTTTGAACTTATTTTATGAGTTCTATTTACTTGCAGCTTATGCGTAATAAATAAAACTTATTGTTTTTCTTAATTTTCTTTTTGTCTTTTTTGTATTTATTTATTGAATATTATAAATAAATTATATNTATATATATATATATATATATAACATCTAAAATAATAGCTAAGTATAATTAAAGGGATCTTACGCAAACCTGAAAAGAATTATATTTTCTAATTGTGGACTCTTCTAAGGGAAGGGAACATCAAATAATCTCTTTCACATAATAAAGGAAGCCCTCATAACGTATCTATAATTAGTTAGAAATGTAATCTTTTATTTATAAAATGAATCCATGCTGCGCAATTAAATGTGTTTATGAGGCCGAATTTCCATTCCATTTAATAAATACTATTTTGAGATTCAACAAAATATTCTGTGGGTCTAAATTATAATCCTTTATTTTTCTAAAACTTAGTTTCACTTAATTCTTCATCGACACATGATTTATTTGTCAAGTTGAAATTCAATAATAATAAAAAAAAACTCTTTATTTCAGATAGAATTTTTTTCTAACTGACTAGGAATTAAATGAAATGGAAGTAATAAAAAAGGAATAAAATATTTGTCCGTAGTAAAATCTATTTTCCGATCGCAAAGTTGCAAAAACTGCAATAAAATCCATCAAAAAAAGTCCCGCTGTGGACGGATCATCAAGACACGGTTCCCAGCAGGTCACCGAAATCAAGCATCACTGGCTGTGGCCAGTGTGCAGGTGGGTGACTACTTGGATCAGTCTGCGTAGTGACCGAGGGTGTGCGGTCTGGGTCCTCGTTAAACTGTTCTACCGTAAAGTGCTCGACTTCGTTTGCAGGTCGTCGGGCTACCGGAGCGGGGGTGCCGTTTCCTCTGCAGAGGATCAAAATTGTGATGGCTTTTCTTCGGATCATCCTCAGGGATGTCTCCCAGACCGTCGCCAATAGCCCACTGTGGTGCTCTATAGTGTGACGTAAATGAACTAATATTACAATTAAAAAACATTTAAGCTTGCTAACCTTAAATTTGAATGAGTTTCAGTTACCGTTTCGTACTGCTGCCACCGCAGCTTTGTGGTTGATTCACTGATAGACGGTTGTGAATTCAAAAGACCCTCTATTCATCAACGTTCGTCAAGACAACCCTTCAGCTGCTCTCACCTCAAAACCTTAAACATTCAAGATTATACAGAACCGCAACTTAGAATTATATAGTCTGTCTATAGAAAGAACTCCCCTTTCCTCGATGTCTAGGGCTGTCTGCTGCTATGGAAACAAGAAATACTGCATTTCGAGGAGGGGAACTTCTTTTTCCCCTGATGCCCCTTTCTATCACCAACCCGAGTCAAAACCTGTCTTAAATAATGCCCAACACTTGAAATAATTAAACCTCGTAACCATAGTAACTGCCACACGAATGGTGAGGGGAATTTGTTACATAGACAAACTATAGTTCTTTGAGGTGCGATTTCTAAAGGAGTGATGACGACACATACTCAGTAGAGACTGTGGCTGCACCTTTCTTTAAAGAATGGTTTTCCCGATAGGACACATGTAGAAAAATAGTTTCTTAAACGAATACATTTTGTTTTCAAAGATAATTTTTTATGCCAGTTTTCCATAATGGTGCTTATTGTCCAAACACGCCTCGGATTTCTAATCACGAAGAATATATTTTTTTCTGGTATGTAGAATTTATTTTATGGTATCATTTTATGTATTATGAGCTCGACATTCTAAGGAACTTTAATGGACGACAAAAAAAAAATGAAATAACTTCTACACATAAACTCAATTCCGATTTTGTTTGTGAAAATTGTCTTTAGGGAAAAAGTCTTCATAGTGGAATTTTTTCTCTCTCTCCGAAAACCAATAAACATAAAACGATGAAAAATAATGATGTTCCTATACTCATAAATAGAGAAAACCGTTTTTTTTTTATTTATAAAGCTATGGATAAAATCTCATTGGCATTAATATTTTACAAGTAAAATCAAAATCGTCATTGTGCCTGCGTCATGAACAGTGACGTGTGACACTGTGATTTTTACCGAAAACGTGACATGGCTATTTCAATGGATAAAGACCCCCCCCTCCTCCCGAATTCATACCAAGAAGCCATAATAGACAGAGAAAATCAACAAGAAGAAAGATTTTAAGAATTTTTTTTTCTAGTCCTCGTTCTACTATGCACATTTTGGCAGTTTGTTTTCTCTTCTGAAAATTTAAATATTTTGGCTTTTGAATGTAAATATTTTAGAAATGATAGATTTATGGCCACGCGATTACATTTATAAGTCAATAAGAAGATAAAGTTTCAATGTGTCTTCAACGCTTTCAAGCTTTAAATACATATATTCTATGCCTTTTAAATCGAAGAAAAAATAATCTTTTTGGGGTGACCTATGTCCATAGAAACTCAGCTCTTTACTCGAGCATCCATAAGAGCCGGATCTCTTAGCCCGCCTTCTTTAAAATTTCTTTTTTTGAAGAAGAATAACAAAACCATTTAATTTAAAAGAAAAAGTAAAATTCCTTCCAAATTCACTGATGCTTTTTTTTCTCTTTGTTGTTGTTAATAAAAATCACTCTTCTACCCAAAACAATTGAATAGAGACGCAATTTTTTTTACTGTAAGTGAATATTAAACGGAAACTGAATTATTTTGCGCGCAGCAAAACGGCATTTATTATGAATCCTACATACTTCAATTTTTGACTCATAGTTCCTAAAAAATAAATAAATTGAGTTAAATTGAAATCAATTATATAAAAAACAAAATCAACAAAAATGTTGTGATCGCCTTATTAAGATCAGTGGTTACCCATGGATCAAATGCTTTCTGGATCGCTAAACACCACCACCATTTCAAATCATGAGTTGCAAAATCTGTCTCCATGGATGTATGACCGATTTTCATATCCCGGCTATTTACGACTTTCGAAATACTTTTCCTTCTCCAGCATTCATGTTTATATTAAAAATCACACCGTCAAGCCCGTAGGTAGGTACTTAATTAGATACTAGGTCACACTAGAGCTATTGGCGACGGTCTGGGAAACATCCCTGAGGATGATCCGAAGATATGCCATCGCTATTTTGATCCTCTGCAGAGGGGATGGCTCCCCTGCCTTGGTAGTCCGACGACCTGCACGCGAAGTCCAACGCTTTACGGTGGAACAGTTCAACGAGGACCGATACCGCGCATTCTCGATCCTTACGCAAGCTAATCACCCACCCGCTTACTGACCTCAGCCAGTGATGCTTGACGTCGGTGTTCTACTGGGAACCGTGTCCATTGCGGGACTCAAGCCAGTCATTCTACGTTCATAATATGAAAAGACATTAAAAATGCCTGCTAGTGAAAATAAAAACAAGCAGCGGATGCCATAGCAACGCATGCAATGACGACGCATGCGCACTGTTTACTAGTATTCTTGAACAGAGTTGAAAAGTGTGTGGAGGCCATCCGATACAAACGAAGACCCATTTTGCCATAAAATTAAATAATATCAATACTAATATTAAAAGAATAGTTGTCTGTTTTAAAACGCTTTAGAAACTATTATAATATCGTGAATAATAAAGAAGAATACACAAAACGTTCAATATAAATTGAAGGCTCTGTATTTTGAAATATTTTTCCGTCATAACGGAATACTCAGATTCTTTAAGGTTTAAATTATTCTTCAACTGAGATGAATACACTGATGATTTTAATGCCATATACATAAATGAAAGGCAAACAACGGGTGTTGATTCCGAGTAAAACCTTTTTTGTATGTCACGGGCAAACAGTTGCTCTGTTTGCTCAGTCGGTGTCATTAAATTAGGAGAATTTTTATTTTCATTCTTAAAACATACGTTAAATGATTTTTCTAAATTTATCCAGCATTATTACTTCTATCTCCTCTCATGGCTACCGGGTGAGTCTTTCATTCATTCATTATTAAATTCTGACATCTGTCTTGTTAAGTCCCTACTGGTCATATTATGAGACTTCGCTCTTTTAAGATTCTGTGTAAAATCCTAATGATCAGGTGATGCTCTATACAGCTTCATTGTTTTGTCGAGATTGTTTGCACTTGTTTACGTTCCTGTATCCATGATGGGTTAAATGAGACGATATATCATATATATTCGACAATCCGATACATGAGACGATATAATAGATAAATATAGAATATTTATTGTCATTATATTAGTATATTATAATTATCAGACGCACTATAGTATTTTTATAATGACATGTTTTCCACGAGTTTAGAGTCAATGCTTTTATATTTAAACATGCATGTCATGGGTTTTTATTCAGGAGATTTTTCGTGTACTTCCTATTTGTATTTATTTGTTACGTATAGCATGACAATGTTAACCCTAATTGATGCACGAACGCAAACAAGGGCCAAAGTCGCATAAACACAATAAAGCTGTATAGAGTATCACATGATAATTAAGATTTGACATAGAATCTTAAAAGAGTGCGTCTCAAATTATGGACTGGGACTGTGTGTTCATTAAAAAATGGAACTCTTTTCACACTTCTCTGGAAAAGTCTTATTACAGTCATTTTATGAGTGACTCCATCCGAGGGAATTTTATTTCAGTCAACTTTAAATTCAGTCTGAAATAAATCAAGATAATTGGGTAAATGAGGGATCGACTTTATAATGTGCGCGTTAAATGCATTTGGAGCAGCTGAAGTAAGTCTAGAAAAAGTGAGGATTTTTTACAATCAGCCTGTTTGCAGAAAGCCGGAATATTCAACTAGCCTACGTCGCATTTATATAAACAGCATCACAAGAATGAAGTACGTCCCGATAAAAAAAAAATAAAAAAAATCTTTAAAATTATTTTTTTCAAGGGGGAAAAATGTATCCATATAAAAACGTTTTTATCTGAATACGTTTTGTCCTCGATTGTTCTTCAATGGATCGACTAGTAGGTTATTTTTATTGTTTGTTGATTTTTTTTAAGTTAAAGGTTGCATCGGCCGATATATATGTATGCGATCGTTTCAGACGCTATAAAATTCGCTATAGCAGATGAAATGTCGTTGTTGTGAGTTTGTCTTTGTATGCAAATACACATAATGTTGTAGTAATGTCAAACAATGAATAAAAAGACTGAAATAAACACTTTTTTTTGTACAAAGCTCAGATCGATTGTAGGCTGGACTGGGTGTAGCAGAAAAAGCAATAGATTTTGACGTCATTCATACCATTGAATGTTATTTTCAATACAAAAAAGCTAACATTTAAAATCCTTCTTTTGTTTCAATTTATATTCGAAAGTTAAACGGAAGTCGTAAAATATAAGGTTAAAAGAAGGGTTCATATAAGATGCAGTCGTTTCCGATTGTATACCTACTCATACTATTTTTTTAACCCTCTATAAGAATATGAACAGCAGAGAAGATGTAAGAATTTAAGAAGCTATTCATTAACACTAGAGAGGCTGAAATACCTACATAGCTCAAATGCAGTCAAAATAACTGCATTGTGAAAGAATAACTAATGTATAAAGAAATTTGTTTAAAAGCAATTTTTAATATCTCTGATATTATTTTCAGTTATTAGTAAATATAAACCCTAAAAATAATTATAAAAATCACAAAATTCTCAGAAATTGTGTCATTCCATATATCATTGTTTTTCTAATTGAAATTTAAAAAGCAGTCAAAACGACTTCCTTGGGCAATCTAATGTTAAAAAAAATGTCTGCTCATTCCAAAAAACGCATTTTTAAGATCATTTTTTAAACAAATAGATTATCAAAATGTATTTGATTTAAATAATGATTGTCTAAATCCGTTGGTATCTGTTGTTATCGGTGCATTCTAACGGACTCCAAGAAGTCCTATAAATGTATCCTTCATTAAAAATATCCAGAAATGTTTAGTAATTCATTAAAAGTTATAACTGTATTAACGGTAGTTAACGTTTTGAAATGGTTAACTGGCAAAGAAGTGAATACTTGCTTTTGCATTCACTTTTGCTGCGTTCAGTCAATTAAAATAAAGAATACAAAACAACTATTTAAATTCTCAATTAATATGTTAAGAATTAAATAATGCCAAATAATCTCTTTAACGAATTAAAAATTATCCATGATTAATTTAGAATTTAAATTATTATTGGATTAAATTTCATGTCAATAGAATCTGCAATGAAAGTGTTTTAAGTGAATACTTTTTAATTATGATTTATCTTTATTATTATCTTTATTATTGATGCATCTTTATTATTGAAGTATCTTTGTTATAAAAAATGACTGTGAAGCAGTCGTGGGGGTTAGTGAGCGAAGGGAACAAGTGGCTTAACTTTATAGTCCTAAATTAAATAGTGTCTTAATAATTTATATTATTTATCAGAATAAAATCAATAATAAATGAGTTTGTGTGTGCGTGTGTATCCCTTTAGTACAACAGAACCGTCGGTTTTATAGTCCTGAAATATAGAGAGGGTGCAAAAGTGGTCATTTTAGTTCCCGATCCTAAAAATCGTTCAAAAACTTTGATTAAATCGGAGACATTTAAAAATGAAACATCCCCATTGGCTTAGACCTGACGTCCTATATATAAATGAAGCTGCAGACGATTTTATAGAAAACGTTAGTGATGATTGCTCGCTCATAGCTCTCATTAATCAAAAGGGAAGTTTATGACACGTTCTCAGATATTTAATTGCGTACTTGCAGCTTAAGGAGAAGACAATCACAGTAACAAAGGCACGTGCCCTATAACATCAGCGTCAGCTGATCGTTTATAAACAAGATGGCGTGTTAAAGTCAAGCTAATTTCTCCACATAGGTTGGAATGTTAATTAATGTGAGATCAATTAAATACAACTGTGCATCACGCATGGAATCTGTTAAAATACAATTCTTTTTTGTCTATGTGTTTTACTTAACTTCAATTTATTATTTGTTTATGTATTTTATTGTAGCCGTGATAGATAATTTTGTTTTGTGCAACTTCGATGCATAATCAGTTTGTTTATGTCTTACAAGGCTTCGTGCCGGTTCTATAAGAAGAATAAAATGAAAGAGTTTAAATCTTTGTGAAAGCATATAGAATGTGTCAGTTTCGAGAATTAATACTTGACGGGCTTAGTGTACTCGAAATAGAATGGAAAGAACTGTTGTTAACGTAATCAAATGGCACGTTTTAACAGACAATCAGAATCGAAATACCCACACTACGTTACTGGCAAGTATCACACATAGTCTTTTTTATTCGTTGCGTCAGATAAACTCAATAATCAACTTGAACGGGGTAGCATAGGCAGACTACGTCACCAAACTTTATTTAAGTAATACAAAATCACGTGTTTACTTTTTTATATAAATATAGTTATATTTTCAAGGCCTATTTAGATAAAACTAAATAATTTAAAATCAACGATATTTGAAATGAAAAAAAAAATAAATAACGTACTGAAAAGCAAATTTAATAGAGAAATAGCACTAAATCGCTTAGGGGATGTGCAAAAAATCGCTCTGTAAAAAGTACAAAGAGAAATAAAAATAAGCCACGTACTAAAGAGAAACATTAACGGAGAAATTATTCTATTTCATTTAGCAGTAAGTCACCAAAGTATATTGATGCCCATAATGATTCATTTTGGTATTAGTTACTACCTGCATATTAAAAATACATAATTAGTTAAGAAATTGCACTCATTCGATTTGGAGAAAAGCAAAATCTCATCATACTATTTTTGACAAAAATGATGCTTAATCAGTAGTAGTTAGTATCACTGGAAAAAAAAACTATGTACCAAATAGCAAAATTAATGGAAAAATTGCACTAATTCATTGCAGAGAATATTAAAAATATCATCATACTATTGTTGTTGCCAAAGAGATTAATTAATTTTGGTAATAGGTACTAAATGAAATACAAAATAAGCTAAATGTAAGAAAAAGAAAATTAATTGGAGAAATGTTCGTACAGGAAGAATATAAAAACTTCCCATACTATTATTGACGCTAATACTGTATCGTAAATTTTGATAATAGACACTTCGGTTCTATGGTAATTGGTGCAATTTTCATCAATATCAAATACAGAGCTGCCAACTCTTCCTGTTTTTTTGGAAGATTTTATTTTCCTATTTTAAGTCGTAGCGAAATCCATGTTATTCGATTAAACTTTTGAAATTATAATATTATAAATGAGTTTGGCCACCTCTACATATAAAAAGGTACAACATAAATATATATATATATATATAATAACAGGGCTACATCTCTGTTATCATTGGTATATTCATATTAAGAAATGCAGTTGAAAGCCATGATACGCTATAAAAAGCTTTATTTAAAGATAGCTGGTGGTTACAACAGTTCACATCTCCACTCCACACAGGAGGGGGTTTGGACAAAACTCCAAATGGTTATTGGAATATGTTATTCAGCAAGAGACATGCAAAAACCCTCGCTCTCACATTAAATACTACAGATATAGGTGTACTTAGGTCCCAGTCGCACATGCCTTTGTAACTTTATGGAAAATCATTTAATGCTTCCTAATATGGAAGTGAAAGAGGCACAAGATTCTAAAAATAAGAATCCTTTGAAGTATAAATCTAATTATAATTCAATGGTATGTTTTCATCTTTGAAGTCCGAAAATGGAAATTCTACATCTATTCTTTACCAAAGACATTTTCTGAAAACGAAAGAGTTTTAATGGTTTTATTAATATAAAAGTTTTTATAATTTTTGTATTATATATATATATATATACTGGCCAGTCACATTAATGTGATCACCTGTAATTAGCTAGAATNTATATATATATAAAAAAGCATAATAGTCTTAACGATAGCGAATTTCATCCTGGTCAAAATATTAATGTATTTTTGAGTCAGATTGTTTTTCGGTAATTGTTTTACTACCACTTGGAAAATCCATTCTCAGAAAGAGTTGAACGGACTACGAATCTCAAAATTAATTACGGAACTACGGAGTTGAACATTAATAGTCGTAAACCCTTAAAATTGGGTCGGTTGTTCAACGACGGTTATAAAATCTCGGGAAGAGAGTGTGAGTTGGCAGATATTCAAATATACTGTTAATGTGGGTAAAATGAGTGCATCTATAAAAGTGACATTAATATTTTCCATCATCTTAAATAAAGAAAGTGTAGAAAAAATTGTTTTACGGGCCGAAAAGGATAAGTACAGCAGAAAGATGCATTTTGACCATTATGATTTGGCCTGGAGCAATAGCATGATTCTAAGAGATACTGAATACAGCGAATCGTTATTTTGATTGGATGTACTATTAAAAACGTGTTTTTCTTAATCTAATAACGTAAATCCACAGGCAAGGGCAGTAATAATAAATTAATTAATAAATAAAAATTTGAATTTCTTTTAATTTTGTTGGTATGTGTTTTGGCAGATGTTGAGTTGATATATGTTTTGTGCATGATTTCGTAATCTAGTTGTCCAGTTCTGATTTAGTGATAGTTTATATTTCATCATGGGTATTCAATGAGTATTTAATAAAAATAGAGATGCTTTTTTTAAACAGAATCAATGCTTCTTTCAGATAAAGTATCCTTTTTTTTTAAAAAAAAATTCGTTTGAGAGATACAGTTTTGAAACTTTTTTTTAATTTTATTTCCTTTCTGTGTCATGAATTATATTTATAAAACAAAAGTTGTGAAATGTTTGTACATCAAAGCTCTCTGAGACGTTTGATTTAAAAATTCAACAGCTTTAATAAAGTGTTAAATGTGAAAAATGTGATTTTTCATTTTTATTTTAAATAGAAGTGAAAATAATATACGTTAGTATTAACACATTTTTATTCATTTCTCATAAAATTTCCCAAACTTTTATTTATTTTCAACATCTTTTGCTGTTAGCACTTGAAAAATCAAAAAAAAAAATCACATTTTACTTTTTTATTATTTATTTTTTATAAAGTATGAGACATCAAAATTAAAAACAAAATTTGCAATGACTTAAAGACAAATTTAATAAAATATCTGAAATAAACCAAATATCATTGAGATGTCTTTCATTTAGGATGTGAGATGCATAATCTTCAAAAAAAAATTTTACTTCAGAATTTTACGTCAAAAATACGAGTATTTCACTTTTTTACTAAACATTCGTAAAAGTTANACAAAATGTGCAATGACCTAAAGACAAATTTAGTAAGATATCTGAAATAAACCAAATATCATTGAGATGTCTTTCATTTAGGATGTGAGATGCATAATCTTCAAAAAAAAATTTTACTTCAGAATTTTACGTCAAAAATACGAGTATTTCACTTTTTTACTAAACATTCGTAAAAGTTATGTAAAACTGAAACGTCGAATGATAGCAAAAAATAGTTATCCAAAAAACGTAAAATTATGCGTCAATAAATTGGTTCTCGTATTTTGCAAATTTTTTACCAACCACTTCTTTCTGAGGACGTTATTTTTACATAATATTTACTTTAGCAATACGTCAAAAGGTACGTCAGTTGAAACGTTAAATTATACAAAAAAGTTGCACTCCAAAAAACGGAGAAGTTGCCTCAATAAATTCGAACCGAAATTTCAAATGGTAAATTTACTTTGTCCATAATACGTAAAATACGATGAATCATTTTTACTAAATCTATAGTGTAAATTTTCTTTCGCCGATTTTGCTTAAAATATGCGAAAGCAATCTAACCGAATGATTATTGGTAAAATCCATTCCGTTCATATTAACGTAAAATTTACGTATAAAGAAGCCTCCACCGATTTCCCAAAACTTAACGTTTCATTCAAGCATTCTACATGGAAATTTTCCCCATATAGCTAAGTAGCGATTTGCGTGGGGTCAAAAAAATGATGCCAACACTGGGGAACTATTTTCTCTTGCACCTTCGTTCCTTTGATCACTTATCAAGTTTATTTGAAGTTATAAAAACAGAATTTACAATTTCGGTTATTTATAAACACGGAACTTTAAATGGGTGGAATGGGAGGAGAAAACCACCGCCAAAAAAATGAGTCATAAAAATCAAAATAACTGTAGGTAATAGATTAAATGAAATGTCTCTTTATAAATCATTACGAAAAATATTTTGAAATAACATTGTTCGAAAAAAATAGACTCATAAAGGGTTAACTATTCATCCATTTAAGAGAAGAAGTAGAATGGCGTGGAAACAATACTTAAAGTGTAAACATGAAAACTCAAATCCACTTTTTTTTTGTTGTTAAATAGTCCAACATTTTTAAAAACTTTCATGTCCTACTTATAAAGTGAAAAATTATCACTAAGCAAGTTTTTCCTAAAATGAAAAGAAATAATAATTCTTTTCACTGGCAAAACAATATCAGTCTGTCCATAAAGAGAAAGTATGGCAAAAAAAAAGAAGAAAAACGAAAATATGACGTCACGTACAAAAAAAAAATAAACATATAAAATAAGAAAAAGTAGAATCTGCTTATCAAAAAAATAGAATAATAAATACTGTTTATTCCAAAAGAAATCAGCCATAAGAAATGAAGCAGCTGTTGTAGATTCTGACATAATGGAATGAAATAAAGATTTTATGAGATGGAAATAAAACGGTGTTTCCATTTATTTTAATGCTGTCATTAGATATTTATGTTTGCATACACCATAAAAATAAACAATAGGTTAAATTCCGTTTACTTCATATTTCCCTTTTTTTTTCGGTGCTCAGCAAACTTTTGATGATAGAATAATATTCGACACCTTTCAAATAAAGTAAAAAATAAAAGCTTTACTAGCACTAAACATACCATAACCAGTCAAATGAAGAACTTTAGCATCGAAAATGCGCGAAAATCTTATCGTTTTTGCAAGTTTGACTTCATGACTTTTTCTAACAATTATGTACACTTAATGTTCTATTATTATGATTTGTATTTTATATGTTTCGAATAATACTTGTCGTCTACCTATATCTACCATAACCTGTTATTTGACCGGGAGAACAATTTATTGCTTTATAAGGTTATCGGATCAGAAATGAAGATGTAATGCGTGTTCAACGTATTGCATTCGATGAGTTGCACATTTCTGCAAAGACTGTTGTGAGTTCAATCAGAATAACTGTGAATTCAAATTACAAGAAAGTACCTAACATTTTTGATTGGTATTTTTGTTTTAGAAAGAGGAACAAAAACCAAATGCTTTAGTAAGTAGCTTATGTTTTATTTTGATAGCTTTACTTCACTTCTAACTAACTGTTAGTTTTCACCCAGAAAAATGCCGAAACAATCGAGACAGCGCAAGTTCTTAGAAGAAATAATATTAGTTATAAGAATAGTAATTCCTATATATTAGATGTCTCAATTACCCTTAAGACTTATTGAAATACGATTATTAAACATAGAAAACTTTTCCAATCTGGAGTACTGCTGAATGCAAACAGACTGAATCGATTATTGATATGAATTAATTTGCAGGTTATTGTGGGGAAGTGCCTTGACTCTGTTGTGCACAGCAATGCTGGTCGATGGCAGGGTGAAGGGGGGTGCTGCTGGACGCCGCAAATATCCCAGAAGTCCCATACCTTTGCTGAAGAAAGAACTCAACGACACTCATCCGGACTTCAGCTACAACGGAATACTGGACGCTGCGATGGTACTCATTCGGGCCGCAAAGAGGATGGGGCCCTCACTAAACGGTAAATATGTTGTTCCAGTGGCTCCATCTATGTCCGAGAATTTTGACTTTTGCCAAACCCATTTATAGGGCTTCATTCATCCACAGATGACCTGAACCAATGAACGATCCATATACTCGTCAGTACCCACAAAGGTATAATTTGTTATGGGAACATAGAGGACTTTGCAACCCGACAGATTTAACGCACACCAGTCACCATTTACTACACGGGGATTCGTCGGCAGGCTGGATTCGAACTCCCTCGGCCGACCAGGCTATCCCTTGAGATAGATATGTGAGGAAGCCATATAGGCAGGCGCGGAAGGCTGTTTCCTTTTGAGATGAGATAAAACCGAAGCAAATATTTACGTTATGGTTCTGAGGTCAGTTAACAGTGAAATTCTCAACGTCAGAGAATGAAAGTCTCTTTGTCATTATAAAGTTTGTCCTTACTATACTCATTTCTGGGAATACGGCCATCCCTATTCAAATGTAATTTTGAAACTGAGGAAAGAGAACTCCTCAAGAATTGGGACAATCCATTGAGGACTCTTTCATGGAATTACAGTCCCTGGTCGAAATTATTAGACGCATTCTGAGATTCCATGTAAAAATGTTAGTTATAAGGTGATACGTTACAGCTTTATTGTTTATACGCGGCTAAAACCGGTTTGCACTTGTTTACGTTCCTGTATCCATGGGTTAAATGAGGCGATCTATAATATAAATTCAACGATTGGATACATTTGACGATATATTATATAAATATAGAATATTTATTACATCAAATATTATATTATAATAATTAGACCCCATTATTAGACCCACTGTAGTTTTTTAATAATAACATGATTTGCACGAGTTTATGGGCCATACTTTTATGTTTAACCATACACGTAATGGGGTTTTATTCGAGAGATTATCTATAGACTCCCTATTTGTATTTATTTTTAACGTATTGCATGACAATGTGAACGCATTGATACACGAAAGTAAACAAGTGCAAACCGGTATCAGTGGCGTAAAANTTTAAACATACATGTAATGGGGTTTTTATTCGGGAGATTATCTATAGACTCCCTATTTGTATTTATTTTTAACGTATTGCATGACAATGTTAACGCATTGATACACGAACATAAACAAGTGCAAACCGGTATTAGTGGCGTAAAATCAATGCAGCTGTAGAGTATCACCTGTATAATTTGAGGTTTTGCGTAGAGTGCGCGTCCAGGGACTCGCATTTACGTTTCATGGAGAGGAAAACCTCTCCAGGCTAGTTGACGATCACCGTCTACCATGGAAGAGGATATTAAAGGAAAGCAGAATTTGTATCGATGGGGAGACGAATGTCTGAGCCACCGCGGGTCTACTGAGAAAAGTTTCTATTTCCATTGATGCACGCAGTTATAGGATCGTAACACGTAGTTGTTGGCGCTGTTGGCAAGTTTTGGTGCACTCATTGAAGTCCAAAAATGCCTGGTTCTTGCAAACAATTGACCCATTATTTCAATTTGCCCTTAACATGCTCTTTCGAACTGTGACCTTCTGTCTAAGAATAAATTATTTCGAATTGGACATTCATAGTTCTGGAAATTTGCCTTTAAGTCCTAAATAATATTAAGCCTCATTAATATTCACGTTTATCAAGAATAACTAATGTACATTTTTTATATCCACAGACGTTTGCACATGCGCCAGGTTTGCTCTGATTTCATCAAAATCAGGGATATAAGAAAAGAGGACGGGTTGTGCGAGAAACTGACATAATGAAAAAGTATCATTAAAGAAAGGGCCATAAACTTGTAGTAAAAATCGTTTTTGATTAGAGTTGGCAAACAACTGTGAGTGTGTGGCGCAACTACGAAACATCAATTCTTTAATACATGCTATCTTGATTCAGGTACCTTTTGATAGATGACTATTTCGTCCTTCTCCACATTCGTGACCTCCAGACGTGACGTGAGCTCGCCTACATCTAAAGTGATGGATGGTACACATTGAAAAATTCACTTGCTATTTGAGTCGTTGTCTTCCACGGTTTCATTTTTACACAATGGGAATCCTTTACACACTCGACTGCTAATAGCAACACAGGAGAACACACAACCGTGAACTTAGTACAGCTCTCACAGCTCTCAAAATCCGACGAACTTAACTCTCGGTCTTTTACTGCAACTAGTGGTTCATCGAACCCTGATAAACTGGTGGGTCGATTTCTACAATAAGTGATCGTCATATGGTTTCATTTATAACAGTAAACAGTGCTAAATCTATGCAAACATTTCGTTTCCGAGATTAGGTTTTTTATATGCAATCTTAAAAATTTTTAAACTATTTTCAGGATTTCTAAGAATTGCACTTTTCAGAAGGCGAAGGTTTCTGAAGAGAACGAAATGTATAAAATTTACATTTCTCGCAACTACATTCATGCAATGAACAGAAGTGTGTTATGCAGGGAGTTGTTCCATATTGACAAATGTTATGTTACATAATGTGTGTTTTTGTTTTAGGTGAATTGAGTACTCTGGAACGAATGGATGGAGACGCAGGTAAACAATACATTTCATTTTTCTTTTCTTTTCTTGGATTCAAATAACCGCAGAGAAGTGCAAATTATGGGTTGGAAGTGAGCCGTTTTTACCTTTTACGCAGAAAAAGACGAAGGCGTTTCATGCTGTATTTCATATATTATTAAAATACTAATATTTTAAACTTATTTTGACTTTAACTAATACTAAATAATAAAAAACGTATAAAAGAAATATGTTTAAAAAAAATTCTGCGTCAAAATTCTTCCGATAGAAAAGCCTTTAAAGTTGAAATTTTCATAAGCAAAATAAATTAAATTTGGCGACGGTGCATTCGAAATAAAACTTGTAGTGTTTCATAATTTGTAACGACTCCGAAATGGATGAAATAAATTTCATATATGATTTTAGAAAAATGACATTAAAAAAAAAATCATCCATTGACACCTCAGGTACTTTCCTTACTGAATCATTTCAGCATTCTTTCATTTCATTACGAAATAAAGAATGCATTTATTACAGCATTTTATAATCTTGTCCAGCTTCCTGATGTTATCGCAGGAAGTGAAAATAGTGGCGAATATTTTTGTGGTGGACTGCTTTAACTTCCGCTGAATCTCTTTCAATAAATAGTTTTTGCTTCACAACACAGTTTTGCATTCAATAAGTTTCGCTGCACTAATATTTTATTCTATCTGTGGATTAACTAAAGTGGATACGACTCTATAAACATTCGCCGCTGCCATTTGGTCCCAGGCAGAAATTAACTTGTTATTAGAACCCATGATTTTCATACCACAGGCCAGAAAACTACTCAATGTGGTCTCTCTGCCCTGAATTGAGAACACTAAACGAAAAATTACTTCTTATACGTTCAATGTATGTGTGCCTTTAAAAAAGCAGGAAGCTAACAGCGATACTAGCAAGATTGTTTTCAATTTAAAAAAGAAGAAAAAAAAATTTCTTACTAATTGTCTTCCACTACAAAAATACCAATTCACTGGTATATTAGACACGTTGACTCGATTCTATGTACATTCTCGTAGACATGCTCTGCCCCGCACGGGTGACCTTCGGAAGTGATGTGAGCATGCCTACATTGACAGAAACTCCCACTTCGATATGAACACGCCTCTCTTGAGAGTAACGCCCACATTGATCAGGATGCGCCTACTTCGATGGAGGGTCCACATGGAACAGTTGATTTGTTACTTGTGGCTGCGACATTATCCACCTCTTCGCACTGTTGCTACTCAGTCTCGATCACACACAACGTACAAAGTATACACTCGATTGCTGAAGGTAACACAAGAGTGACCACTATCGGGGACTTAATACAGCTCGCACTCAAAAGTACGGTAGTCTTAATACAGCTCTCCCGGCTTTTGCACAAAACAGCAATGAATCAACTAGTGGTATCCATTCATCGAATTCTATCCCACCTCTGGTGGGGGAGTACTGTAGAGTGTCTACCACTATAAGAATACAATTCCAGTTCACTAGTATACAAGTATCATGTTTACTCGATTCTATGGTGGGCTAACTTTTCGCAGATGAAGTTTGACACTGTCGATAACAACTCTCCCCACACAAATGTTCAGTCTTTTTAAAATAAATGAAAAAGAACAAATTTTAGAGAAAATTAGGCTTTAATTACTTAAAATTAAACTTAATTAAAAAGTTTTTTTTTTCAAAGTAAGATTAACTTTTATATTAAAGAAAGTGAAAAAATAGTTTTTTTTCCTCTTCTATTTTGGAAGTAACAAGTGATGCTATAGAACGAGGTGCAACAGTTTATATCACGCAGAGAAAGTTGGAACTCGAACTTTCGATATTCTCAAGAGAAAATCTCGCACTCTCTCGTACGTAGGAGCTTCGCAAGTTCTACAGTTGTTGCGCTGTGCAGAACTTACTCTCGCAGAAATATCGTTTAAACCTTTTTCCAATTTTTGCAACCATCATAAATGACGCCGAGAAAATCACTTTTTCAGATGTTGTGGAAGATGGAGGGAGGTGTCCACCAAGGCCCATAGACTGTGAGGAGTTACTGCAGGAATGTGAGGTGGTTGTGTCCGGTGTGTACAGGGTGTACCCTAGAAGTCGTGTGGAGACGTGGGGTGACGGAGGATTCGAGGTATACTGCGACATGGAGACAGACGGTGGGGGGTGGACGGTGAGTGAGTTTTTATATTTGAAATGAATTCACATCCTTATAAAAATCGATGCAAATACCTGCAATTGAAGGTATGACTTTTTACAGTCATGAGACTTTATTCCACACATCCTGAAACTCCAACAGGAATAAGGCAAATAACTGGTTTGCAAGTACTCACTTTGGAAATGATTTTAATTTATAAACATTATGCTTTACTTTCATCAAAAATCCACATTTTATTGAAGAAATATCTAGAACATAAGACAAGGAAGCCGGATGAAATTTACTGTAGAGTTGGTCTGTGGGATGCAACTAGTATTTTAAGGGAATTGGTGTTCAAGAATATATTATAATAAATTCAAACATATTTTTTTTCATTTTTTACAAAAAATATGGGGTCAGTGGATTAAATCGTTAAATTAAAAAAAATGTCCAAAATAGTCGCTACTGTATAGCGTGAGTGCATCTTTATTATATTACACCACATATTTTGGTTTGAGAAACGAAAATCATGATTGCCTAACTGTGTATATTTATCGATGAAAACAAAATCTTATTTGTCTAGATGGTAAAGCTGAGATGATTTTTAAAAAAATTTCTGGACAAAAATGACTTAAAAAAAACTCTCTCTCTCTCTCTCTCTCTCTCNATATATATATATATATATTCCGTATAATACTGCAGACTTTAAACAATATAAAAGGGTATTTCGTAAACAAAAATGATCACACTCATAATTTACAGCTTATTTTAAACAAACATTATTTGTATCTTTAACTACAGTTTGACAAGGATGCTTGTCGTAATAATAGACTATTCGCAATCTGGCGTACATCGAGCTGTTACTGTAACATCAGCACACTGAATTTTTAAAAAAGAACGTTCGTTAGATAGATCAAGAATGGGGTGAACCTGGTTTGAATTCCAGCGATGACTAGTAGATACGAATTCGGCACCCGACTTGCACCGACCACAGTGGCGTGAAATATCCCCAGTAGCTGATGGATCATGTGTTAGAGTCCCCTTGCCGTCAGGCTAACCGTCGGAGGTTTTTGTAGTTCTCCTCCATGTAACGCAAATGTGGGTTAGTCCGTAAGGAGGTTACGGTTAGTCCCTTCAAAAAGTCCTTCACGAAGTCAAATTTCTCCCAATACTCGATCCAGGTGTTCCCTTGTTTTTGGATTGGGTTCACAATGACAAGACTACGTAGTTGAACATTAGCAGTCATAAACTCAGTAATTGGATCGACTGTTCAACGGCGGGTACAAAATAAAATTTTAAAAAAGTGAACTTCTTATACTCTTTATCAAATATTACGATGTCAGTAATTCATCCTATTCGGCAGCACATCTTTCTGAAACATGCATAAAAGAATACCTTTATAACAGAGGGTATCATTTAAGAAGTTTTCTTTCCTCAAAAGAGAATATCAATGCCTGGTAACAGTTTCAGTGCAACCAACTGTCGTCTCTAAACATCTAAAGTATAAGGGTAGATATTTTCGTGAAGTGCTCGATGGATTACCATCAAGTTTTGTGTGACATTCTGCAAGCCAGCACTGGAAATTTTTTTCTCATTACTAAGACGGCTTGTCTACCGATCATGTCTACAGTACGAATACCAAGTCTACCGACTGAAATCATCAACCACCATTATCAGCAATCTAACTCGATAAGTTCAAACAGCTACAGACTTTTGCCGTCGCAGAGTTTTGAAAGTACCAAGCTTTGTTATGATAGAGAACGAAACCCTCACTAAACGTTCCAAAATGTTGCTTTGCCTTTAAAAAAAAAACGTATTACTGCTTGCATTTCAACGTGAGACCACTTTTTCTTGACGTCTTGCCATTTCAATATAGGAAGAATTTTCATAGCGTGTCTGTCCAGGGGACCTCCAAACCAAGGGCTATCGAGGTCAGGCTACTGACTGGACAAGACAGGCCGCGATATTAGACTTTCTGATTGCATTTTCTGCCTTTCAAGATGCCCCTACTTTCCATTCCTATATCAATACATTCCTATAGATGTTCATTTTTGTACTGAAATGCAAGACTTATTATACTTAATAAACAAAAAGATGTAATTACTTCCCTTAACAATTATTTTGAAGGGAAAAAAATATGCAAAAAATCAGCATATTTTCTTATTTTATTAATAAATGCAAGGAACCAAAACAATACACAAGTTTGAAGTTATTAAAGAAAATTATTGAAGTTAGATTATTTTGAAGTTAGTTAATTATTGAAGTTAGTTATTGAAGTTAGATTATTTCTATCACTTTGAGCAAAGGTGAACTATGAATGGTAAACAATAACACGCTTCCTAAGACCGTTAGAAATTGAGAAAATGTATGCTTGCGAGGTGATGATGTTTGATCTGGAAGTTTTATTATTGCGATTTGTGTTTGAATTTGGGTTTCCTGTCATTCATAAATTGTGACTGGCTGTCAGCCTAAAACAAATTGAAAAAAATCCAACATAAATAAAGTTTGCCCTCTTATTTGTCGGTATATCTGAAAAATATCATCGTTGGTTATTTTTTGCGTAGCATCATAGCAAGTTTGCGGTGTCTTCCGAATTCATGTGTTGTTTGTTTCGTTGAACGAACGTGTTATATTAAAAACACTTCAAACACAGTATTATTGGATGGTGCGTTTTTTACGCATAGAAAGCCGGCATTAGCTTTACTCGGTCAACCATCCATAGTTGAGCCGCGATGGCTCAGAGGATCGCCTTCCAATGCGGCGAACCGGGTTCGAATCCCAGTCGATACGAATTTCCCACCCGGCTTGCACCGAGTATAGTGCTGACATGAAATATCTTCAGTGGTAGACGGATCATGGGTTAGAGTCCCCTTGCCGCCTGGCTAACCGTGGGAGGTTAGTCTGGCGGGTGAGCAATGCGAGTTAGCTCCATCAAAAAGGTCTCCACGAAGGTAAATTTCCCCCAATACTCGATGCATGAGTTCCCTTGTCTTCTGGTTTGGGTTCAAAATGACAAGGTTACGGAGTTGAACAGGAGTAGTCGTAAACCCATACAATTGGGGTCGGCTGTTCAACGGCGGTTACAAAAAAAAAATTATAAAAAATCCCATCCTTAGTTAAAAATCTAATCCTTTTTTAATTTATTTTATTTTTTTATTCTGCAGTTAATTCAGAAGAGGGACGATTACGGTGCTAAACCAGATTTTTTTTACAAGGATTGGGCAAGTTATAAAGCTGGATTCGGAGAAATGGAATATGATTATTGGTTGGGTAAGTTAAAGACTTTTTTTTTAAAAGTATTTTGTGGATTTTCCTTGCCATTCGGTAGTTCAGATAAACAGATAAAAATCATCGATACATTTTAAGCAAAAGTTTTGATAGCTGTTTAAAAAGATTTTCTACCTTTTTGATAACGTCACTTAAATGATGAAAGAGAAACAGAAAAAAAGTTTGACACCACAAAGTCAATATAAAAAATTGGACTTTGGTAAAAATAACACATTTATGGTTCCGAAATCATTTAAAGAATTCAAATCTCACGGTACTTTGAAGAAATATGGAGAAGTTTCTTTCCTTTTCTAATATTTCAAGACACAATGCATAAAACGGATGACGTCTTTACAATGATGCGTATGTGCTTGATAGTTACAATTTAAGTTACCTTCTTCAGATCAACATAGAGCCCGTTCTAGTTGAAAAGGGACAAAATGATGAAAATCAGTGATATGAACACTATATGGGAACCGCAGAATAAGAAAATTTACACTAAAAGATTGTTTAAATTTGAACTACCAGGTGTAAACAAACCGCGCGTAAAGAGTGAAAAGAAAAAACACACATTGGAGAACTAAAACTTTATTTAATCACATCATATGATCAGTGTTCCATAGCGTCAAACAAATATTCAGGCCGGGATAGCCTGGTTCGTAGGGCACTGGGTCCATGTCCAAGAGTTCGGGGTTCGATCTCCGCTGGCCGAAGAATCCCCGTGCACTAAACGGTGACTGATGCACGTTAAATCTGTCGAGTCTCAAAGTCCTCCTTGTTCCCATAACAAATCAATACCTCTCGAGTGACCAGTGGTGCGNATTTTAAGTTAAATCAGATACAAAAACGCTCCTCTCTGAAAGAATATTCCATTTTTTCGATGGATTTGGATTCTTGATCTTCAGTATAGGGGGGGGGAGGACAAAATCTGGAAAATAGGTTCCCATTAATTATGTCAGGAAAGCGGTTGGAACCCCTTCACATGATAATTTTGGTTTTTGAATATTTCACTAATTCTGATGAACTCCTAAACTGAATCAAAACATTTTTGTGCTCCCTCATAAAATTTGCTTATTCAATAATTCCATGCAACAAGAAGTTTTTTTACTTATTCATTTTTAACTAATGCAATTCTTGATAGTAGAATAAGTATTGAATTGTAAATTATAAAAATTTTAACTTTTTTAAAGAATTTAATTTTTTGTTTCAAAATACGAAATTTGAACGAAATCAGTCGAATAGTTTCTGAAAATCAATTTTTTTTAAAAAAGTTGAGCATTTAAAATTTGATTTCAATTGTTGTTGTTGTTGTTAATTTACGTCGCACTGGAGCTGCACAATGGGCTATTGGCGACGGTCTGGGAAACATCCCGGAGGATGATCCGAAGACATGCCATCACAATTTTGATCCTCTGCGGTGGGGATGGTACCCCCGCTTTGGTAGCCCGACGACCTGCGCGCGAAGTCGAGCACTTTAGAGTAGCACAGTTTAACGAGGACCCATACCGCACACCCTCGGTCCCTACGCAGACTGATCCAAGTGGTCACCCACCCGCACACTGACCGCAGCCAGCGATGCATGACTTCGGTGATCTGCTGAGAACCGTGTCTTAACGATCAGTCCACTGCGGGACAAATTTAATTTCAATGGGAAATATTTGACCGATTTCGTTCACATGTTATTCAGGATGCTCTCTTTTTAATTTTGATAACAGTAATACGATATCTCCATCCATTGACGTGTTTCAATTTTGTTTCCCTATAAGTCGATTCTAACTTTCCTTCTAAACGCACTCCTTCAACAATATTTAAAAAATTTAATTGTTTTGTTTGTCTTACGTTTTTTCTTGGATGATGCTGAACTATTTCACCTTCGATCCACCTCCATTATCTTTACCATCACTACCCCCTGATAGTTAAAATTCACTATTTTTACTTCCCCTAATCATCCTTCCTCACTATTACCCCCCCCCTCCATTAAATAACTCTATTTCAATTACTTTACAACTGATCTCTTAAATTTTTCAATCTTAATTATATTTTTCAACCTTTTATAAATCATTCTTTCTCGTACTTATTTGAGTTTACCTCAGTGGTGCCACCTATTGATGTATTATCTTACTATGTTTCTATTTGTTACCTGCCATATTCCCATTTTTATCTTATCCATTCTTATTGTTTTATGATACCCATCTTTTGCTGTAAAGTTTCTACATTCATAGAGTTTTCCCCTAAAATTCTATTCTTCAAATTATTTTCGATCAACATTCTCAGCTTTTGTATATACCCCTATTTTATTTCGATCGATTTAGTTGCCGTTGCTTAAGCAACACCTCTCACCCGTGAATTATTCCACACAAAACTGCTTTAACATCTTTTCTCGTACATTGAAAACAGCGCTCTCTATCGGTTTTTTGTCTCCGTAAGATTTCTTTTTTTTTTTCCCCTCATGGTTACCAAAGCTAAGTATACCAAGTTTTCTGGACATCCGCCTGTGTTTCCCAAACTTATGACTTTTGTGTACCCTTTCTAAATTTTTCGTAACGTTGTGTACCGCTCATAAGAAAAATGAATGTATTTTTTGAAAAATATGTTTATTATTCTTTTTTGGTACAAAGTTTTGTTAATAAGTTCATTTGCATCAGTGAGAACATTGTTTTTGCTGTGATAAAAAAATGCACAAAAGTTAAAAATCGCAACTGGTTGCTGACACCACTAATTATTAACTCTGCAAAAAATAGCCAACGCAAAAATACTTAATCGTAAATTTTCATGGCTAGCTTTGTTTTTAAATAATTTTTTTAGAAATTTTCATTTGTTGTAAGATATTTCGCATAAGAACGCTAAACTGTTCAAGAGGGTACGCGTACCACACTTTGGGAAACACTGGCCTACTGGAACAAATACTATCAGGGTCGNCGTAATCGTAAAGTTTCATGACTAGCTTTGTTTTTAAATAAAATTTTTTGAAATTTTCATTTGTTGTAAGATATTTCGCATAAGAACGCTAAACTGTTCAAGAGGGTACGCGTACCACACTTTGGGAAACACTGACCTACTGGAACAAATACTATGGGGGTCGGCTCATTTTAAATAGTTATCGGGCATAAAATCAACAAAATGCTTAGAAATAATCTGACCATTTTCACTTGTTTGCTGCCATTTCAAATTTATCTTGTCATTTCGAGAAAGAACGTGCGACGCTATTTCACGACAAAAGGGCTGAACTAGAGTTATGACATTCTCTGAGATCCAAAATTTACCGAAAACAAAACGAAGGAAATTTTTTCGCGCAGAGCACCATTTAAATGGCTATTTGGACAGTAGTTGAAATTTCGATTGAATATAAATTTATAGTAGAAATAATATGGTTATACATTTGCTTGTGACATACTTACCAGGAAATGATAATTATTTAATGTGTCGAATCAGGTTTAAACACCTGATCCGACACATTAAATAATTATCATTCATCATATTTTCGAAGAGTGAGCGAAATTTTTACCGGCAATCAGTTAACTTCGTGATAACATGTGGATTAATTCTGATTGTTTTGGAAAAGATTGAAACTTACCGTGTCGTCTAACACGGAGAGAGGCTCTCATAACCTAAGCACTCTTGTTAATCAGAAAGTGGTCGGAAATTCGACAGGCGATAAGTTTGGCAATAATTTCATGATAAATTCTATTGGTAACGGTCCTGAAATAATTGCAAATAGAATTGTAATTCACCATTGAACTTCTGTTAAAATTTGAGTGCTCTAAACAGTCTTAAAGTGTTAGAAAATTTTGATGGGCAGAAAATTCTTTGGCAGTAATAAGCTCTAATTCTGGCCAAAAAATGATTGAATCTTGAATTGACATCAGACACGGAATTTTAATATTGTCTTGATGCTCTAGCTAGTCGGAAAAAGATCAAAATTTTTAGCAAAAAAATTTGACTGCAAGATTCTATTGACCCACAAACATTCTTCGATTGAGATTCCATTGCAAAGACATCGGGATTCCATTAAGTTGATAAAAAATGAAACGACTATTTATATTAACATATTTTTTATTTTTAACTATATTATTGTTTTTATGAACATGAAACGTGTCAATAAGAGCAATAAAAAAACTTTGAAAAATTTGTTTTTTGTGAAGTTATTAATAATTTACTCATTTAATTAAAATGTTATTAATTTTAGTTTCCTTTTTAACAAAACTTTGACTTAAGCATCACATAATATTAAAAAGGAATTAAAACATCCATAAAAATCACATTGAAAGCTATAAGTTCCAAACACGGAGAAGGAAAAAGGGATTGTTTAGAAGCATCGTCAAGTGTGGCAACCATTCCATTATCGTTCGCAATCCAGCTCTTTCGGAAGCTATTGTCTAACTAATCAGAAATTCTACCCTCAGAACTGCTTCCTTTTTGGCTTGTTATAACTGTCGTGCATTCAGAAGGAAATTTCCTTACCTAAACTCTTGAGGTTTATTTAATTATTAGTTCTTCATTTTAATATTAATTATTTACTTTAAAATTGAAATTACAGGTAGAAAAAAAAAGTTTTTTCTTTTTAAACAGTAAAACTTGTTTATTGAAATATTGCATTTTTCAATCACTAACTATGGGTCTACTGAAATGGCAAAACTTGGGTTTTAGGATGCATTTTAAGAACTATTTTCCGGAAATGTACTTCCTGCATTATGAACTCAAGATTGATTCATATCATTTTTGTGCTCACAGGGAATGATAAAATATTTGCACTGAGTAATCAGAGGCCATCGACACTCAGGTTTGATCTGTTTGATTTCGAAGGAGGCCGTGGATTTGCAACATACGACAATTTCTATATAGAGGATGAGAGCCAGGCTTACAGGTTGCACATCGGGGATTACAGAGGAGATGTTGGTAAGTTTCAATCTATCTATATATATATATAAACCTCTGCTTTTACATGTCCAGATCCAACCTATAATTCACGGCTTATTTTCTCTTCCGGCTGCCTTTATTTGAAGCTAAATGCCATGAGATAAAAAGTGCAGCTTTTGAAAGAAAATATAATTTTCTTCACTAACATTTTATTCCATAAATTATAAAAACAAAAAGCATTCATAAAATATTGCATAAAGTATTTCCTATCACGTTTTTCAAATCAAAATGACTCAATTTTTAAATAAAGAATTATATTTCTCAAATAAACATTTTCAATGCTTATAGCTGTTCTTTTAGGTTTTCATTTCGAAGTAAGCCATCATTCGGTTTATTTTATCCCTTTTTTGCTTATGTATATACACCAAAAACAAACCCATAACTAGATTAGACGTAGCACAAGGACTGCAAGTGTAACTGCTGGACAGAAACCTTATTTAAGATTATTAATAATAAAAATGATAAAGCGACAAGAAAAATCTTCATTCCTTTAACTGACTATTTTAAAAATAGTCTTTCGTAGGTTATAACGTTCATAATTAGCACAATAAACTTCCTTTTTTAAAGTCGGGATTCCACCAAAAAAAGGTTGATTATTTAGGGTTCTGTAGCAGAAAAAAATTGGGAACCGCTGTTCTAGACAATGACTGAGTTCTTTTTCCAATCTTTGAGAACCCAGCGAACGCCTGCTACATCAACAATAAGCTCATTTCAAATGGTTATTCATTCATTCGATTGCGTTTATCGTGAAATGCACCCAAAACCATAGTTACACTTGCAATGTAATGAGATCACAATAAAGTCTTTGCATGTTTCCCTATATTTCAGAGCAGGAACCTTTATTCGCCCATAACAAATCATACCTCTGGGGATACAGATCCAGGAGTTTTCTCGTCTTCTGGAATTTTCAAAAATTTAAACTCTATGGAACAATGAGGCCTCAGAGGATAGAGCATTCGCCATCCAATGAAGTGAATCGGGTTCGAATCCCAGTGACGGCTGGTCGATATGAATTCCGCATCCGCCCTGCACCGACCACACTGACGTAAAATATCCTCAGTGGTAGACGTATCATGGTCTTTTCCCTTGCCATCAGGCTAACCGTGGGAGGATTTCGTAATTTCTTCTTCATGTAACTTAAATAGGAGTTAGTTTCGTCAAAAAGTTCTCCACGAAAGCAAATTTCTCCCAATCCTTGATGCGGGATTTCCCTTGTGATCTTAGATTGGGTTCAAAATGATAAGGCTACGGAGTTGAACATGAGTGGTTGTAAACCCAAACAATTGGGTCGGCTGTTCTAACGACAAATATGTGAAACATATGATTGTGAATGAATGACCTTTGGGGATTAATTTAAAGAACTTCTTTTGAGCATTGTTTGAAATGTTCTCATTGTTTTCTGTGCAGGCGACTCCTTTAGTGCGCACAATAATTGTAAGTTCACGACAAAAGACAGACATAACGACAACAACTATTTCGAGAACTGCGCACAGAGGTACTTCGGTGGATGGTGGTACAACAGCTGCCACACTGTGAACATCCTGGGACTGTACCTGAAGGGATCACACCTCTCGTATGCAGACGGTGTCAATTGGTACCTCTACAAGGGATTCCATTATTCTCTAAAAAGAACTGAAATGAAGACGAGATCTGTCGGATTTGCAAGACTCATCAACATGGATGTAGCCAGGCAAGACACGTTCGATGAAGTGTTCCGAATAGCGGCATAATCATTCATTTCCCTCTGAATCGAGCGATTCGATCAAATTGTACAGCCAGGAGTGTTTCTCTACAATAAAACATATCATTTTTAAACATTCATAACTAAACGATGGTTTATTTTATCAGTGGGTTTTCATCATCAACGAGTATTAAGTTTAAAAAAATTTTCGATTCTATATAAAAATATAGATCCGATATATTCTATTAAGAATATAGATTAAAGAATTTGCTCTTTTGAATGAGTTGGATTTTTCACAGAAGGAATAACATTTTTGATTACTATTGTCTTTAAATAAGAAACAATTTTTTTTATTTTTTAAAAAGTTTAAATTTAACAACGCATTTGAAGAATTTTTATTTATTTTCTTTTATGGTAAAAGTTAATGTCTATCCTATTTATAAAATTAGAAATTTGGAAAAACATACTTAAAAAATATATGATTATCACATGTTTTGTATAAAATAATCAGTCTCATCGCCTTGAGGGATTAAAAATAGTTTTTAATATTCTTGGTTTTATATACAACTTATTACAGCTTAAATGGAGTTGTTGATTTTTGTTGATTGTAGAACTTTTTTTTACTTTTATTTGATGGATTCAAAAAAACGAAAATCAAAGTGCCGGTACTTTATATTTCATGAAATGACGGAGTACATTTAGTATCAATTTTCAGACGAAGCTGGGGTGTCACGAAGAGGGTGATGGCACGTGTTCAAATCATCCACAGGGTTGTTTCCCATACCGTCACACATAGCCATAGCCCATTGTGCAGCTCTAGTGTGACGTCAATAAACTACAACATATTTCACACTATACAGCTTAAAAAAAGTCACTCATACTCAAAGTTTCAGAGAAAGTTTTCAGTTCTTGAACTGATTCCAGGGTTTGATATTGAATTGAAACTTGATACAGCTTTATTCGTCATGAGTTTTTTTTAAAACTATTTTGCTACATTTTTGTGATTTCAGTGCTAAAAATAAGTTTTAACATACTTAATTAAATCTTTCATTAAACCTTCAAAGTTATAAAACAATGAGTCCCGCAGCGAACTGATCATAAACACACGGTTACCAGTATAACACCGAATTCAAGCATCACTGACTGAGGTAAGTAAGGCGGGGTTTCGGTCCTCTTTGTTCTACCATAAAGTGCTCAACTTCGCGCGGATCGTCGGGCTACCACAAGAGGGGAGCCATCCCCTCTACAGAGGATCAAAATGACGATGGCATGTCTTCGTATCATACTTGGGAATGTTTGCCGGATCTTCGCCCATAGTTGCAGCTCTAGAGCGACGTTAATAAAATACCAAATTATAAAATACTACTACTCATAATAAAATACCTTTTTTTAAATAATTTGAAACACTTTAATTGATTGGTATTGAACCTATGAAAACTTTGCAGTCACAGATGTAATAACCTATGAGTGACTTTTACAAGCAGTTGTCTAAATACACTCTCTGGACACAAAAGTATCCTGACATCCGAGTTGTTAGGGTGGTGGAAGCATAACGCTGTGGGGGTGCTTCTCGTGGTTTGACCTGAGTCCGTTAGTTCCTGTGATTGGAACTCTGAGATGTGGACAATGCTACACCCCCCCCCAACTCTCTATTTCAATATTTCGGACCCATTCCTCTTACAGCATTCACACAAACGAAGCTCACACAGACGTGGCTTGACGATGTTCAAAAACTGGACTGGCCTTCTCAGAGCAACGATCTCATAGAACATCTTTTGGGACGATTTAGAGCGCAGATTACGTATCCAGTCGAATGCTCACACTGCAGCTGTGATGGAAGTCCTATCAAGAAACTGGTGGAAAAGTGTTCGTGTGCATGGATGCAAAAGAGGGACCATACATCATTATTAATATTTGCCTCTAAGTCCATAAGCACTCAGTGTCCCCATACTTTTGGTCAGATAGTGTATTTCTATGAACAAAAATATATATCAAAATCATAAAATAGGATATTCTTATACATTTTTATGTCAATATTTACACGAGGCTTTTAACCCGAAAATTCTTTCTTCTAGAGATCGATAGATTATTGATAAAAATGGAACGAAAATGCAATGCTTAAAAATGAAATATTAAAACAAAAATAGAAATAAATATTTTAAGTTGTCGGCTCTAGAAAATGAAATTCGAAAAAAAAAAAAATCTTAGGATTGATTTTAATCCATTAGAAGAGGGTGTGAAAGTAATCCTTATTCTCTTGAAGTGCTGAAAGTTCAGCCTCGAGGGACGCAAAGGCCCCCAGGTAGTGGAATCATGCAATTTACTAAGTTCTAAATCTACTTAAAAATAAAACTAAATGATTTGAGTTCAACTTAAAAATCTAAAAATGCATCTCCCTTTCGTAAAATTGTATTTGATTTCATTTTATGATAGTGTTATTTTAAATTATATTGCGTAAAATCGTAAAACACAAAAAGGTACACATTCAACCACTAAATAATATACTGCGTGAATGACAAACTAATTAATTGATAAAATAAATTTCAGCATTTATTCTAAGAGAAAAAGATTTCAATTTTTTTTTTTTTGTAACTAAAATAAAACATAATTTCGTTTAGCGAAGGTGTAGATCAAAGTTTTTTGCTGATTTCTCCATAAACTTGGTAACGATAGTTATAGCATAAAAAAAAAACTTCTTAACCTACTTTAAATGTTTCTAAAAACATTTATAAAACAAAGTCAAGTGATGGTTTATTATAGTTAGAACATTAGTGGGCAATTTTTAAAGAAAATTTTAAGAGCAAAAAAGAATGCACGTTATTTCCAATCTACAAAAAGTGAACAGATTTCCCAACCTACAAAAACGTCTTCGCGTTCCACAATTAAAACTTCGTCACCTGAGTAAGATAGGCTACCATTTGAAAAATAACATTGTATCTATTGATTGTCAATGAGTTAGTATACTGTAAGATATAAAGTGGTAGCATATTTTATATCTGACTAAACTGCGTGATTAAAAAGCCACGTTCATTAATTGTTTAGTCATTATTTAGAATGAAATATTTAAAGTTATTAACTTTTATTTTATACATGAATTGACTGACTACTCCTTCAAAAGTGTTTTTGAACAATAAAATCTACGTTTGTGATTTGGTTTCATCTGCCTTTAAATTTTCGATACTCTCTCTTAGATGATAAAAAATAGTACCATTTGTATAAAAATTCCATGATATCATTTACCAAAATATTTTTTTTAAAAACTTTTTATACGTTGGGAAATCAGTTCACTTTTTGTATATTGGAAATAGCGTGCATTCTTCGCTTTACGTAAAGTATTGAGGTGTTTAGGTTGTAGGTTAAGTAGTCAGCAGTGGAATTATTTTTACATCACCATGTAAAGTGTAATGAATCTTTCATTTTAATCAAATGTAGTAATCGAGTTCAGTTTTTTTCCCATCTAATATATAATTTTTTTTTCTAAAGTTGTTAAAAATGAATCTAAATGATGCATTTACAATTTACTTTTTGAACCACGAAGAATCCAGTTAAGCTATAACTTACAAATCTAATATGGATTTATAAGAAAGATAACTGTTTTTCCATACAAGATTAATTTAGGAAGATATTTTTTTTTTCAATAAAAATCTATGTTGGACAATGTATGTCATTCAGTGATTTCAGAAAAATGCACAAAGGATGGTTACCGTCAACCGGTACCACTTTTTCATGTTTTCATTTATATTTTCGTTAATAAAAAATGGACTTCAAGTTCTCAAATTCAGTTTTAAACAATTAACAAAGTGTAAGGAAGTAAACTGTACAATTTTATGTATATATATAAGTTCAAAATGTGGAGAAAACATGGGAAAAAATGACAGAACAATGAAAAAAGGGAAAAATAATGATAATAAAATTTTTTTAATATTTTAAACTATTATACGTAAAAATTTATTTTTATTATCATTATTTTTTCTCTTTTTTTCATTGTTCTGTCATTTTGTTTCCATGTTTTATCTACATTTTGAAGTTATTTTATGGTTTCTATATTTACTTGCAGCTCATACGCAGTAAATAAAAATTATTTTTTTCTAACACTCCTCAAGAACTATTTAAAATCCTTTCTATTGATACAAAACTAAATAAGGTGGGACACTGTAACGAAAATGAATTCCTCCACAATGGAAAAATGGGTGGTTAATTCATCAAAACAGTGGCCTAAAAAAGTGATGACAAGATTATTAAAATACCCTCAAGTAGTGTACAAACCATATTTTAAACCCGAAAATATCTTGCTGTGTTGGCAAATTTACAACTTCGTGTTGGAACTGTGGTTGACGGCAAATGACAACTCTTAAATGCTTTGACGTTTCATAGGTTCGGTATAATAACAAGTACAACTTACGGGTTTGAGCCAAATGATATTTAGAAGTGGTTCGAATCCCGGCTCGCACTGATGTAAAATATCCTCAGAGGTAGACGGATCATGGGTTAGAGTTCCCTTGCCGTCAGGCTAACCGTGGGAGATTTCTCTCTGTGTGTAACGCAAATGCGTGTTACTTCCCTCAAAAGGCTAATCTCTCCCAAAACGTGTCTTTTGTATTGGGCTCTAAATGACAAGGCTACGAAACATTTAGTGTCAGCTGTTATATTCTAAACTAGATCTTTCCCTGCACAGAAAAGAATTAGTTTTACATTCGTGCCCCATCAAAGTAGCTATGAGTGATCTGATGGGGATCGGAATTTATTTGAAAGTTCGTTATAAAAACAATTCGAAATAGCGAGAGGAATTATCATTTTAAGCACATTATTTGATGTTAAAATATCAGTATAAAACAAAATGAAAGCGGTGACTATGCTGAATGTTTATATTAAACTGTCAAAAAAAGGGAAATCAATGGGCGTGGCAGATCAACAAGAAAGGCGCATTCTATGACAGAGAACGGTGGGTTTCCTAAAAATAGGTGTTTTTTTCAAGGGGGAGACTGTTTAGCTGGTGGGTGCCCACACATGTTTGCATCATAAAGAGTGTAGGGAGAAAATAATATGAAATGATATTAGTTATTTACTTTTCTGTTTTGATACCAGAAATAAACCATTTTCTCTTATATTATTCTTCGTTTAAGTATATTTCTCTCAAA